TATCGTGTCGGCCATTTTGACGTCTTGTACTTGATATAAATGTATTACAACGAGCAGTCATTGTGACTGACTTACTGAGGTAGTTCTTTACAGACCTTTCTCATCTAATGGTGATATTATCTGAACACATGTGTTGCGCGAGATGTTTCTGAAGAGAAATTGTGCATCCATACATTCATGTCACCTCCCTTTTTGAGGAACTATTTTGTTCCGAGGTGTAGCTGGTTGTTTTATGGCTGTCAGTGTAAACATGAAGTCACACATACTAAATAAAATTGTGTTTAGATCTTGGCCTACATCCTTTGAGGTAAGAAATTGTGATAAAAGATTTTATAAGAATTGACCTTCACTTTGTGTGAGTACATTGGAGTATGAACCTTCATAGAGTGAGGGCCAAACATTGTGTGAACGTCGGGGTAAGCTCCCACGTTCATACAGTTTGGCCCTCACTCTATGAAGGTTCATACTCCAATGTACTCACACAAGGTGAAGGTCAATTCTTAATTGTGTATGTTAAGTGAGCAGGAAATAGCAATCAGCTGTAACCACATTTTCTACAATTCTACCGGTGATTCGGTTAAAAAATACCTAATAAATATAACTTCAAACAATATTGATGGAATGAATTGTATCTGAAACTATTATTTTATCAGAAATACTATATTCCAATATCAAATTATTTTAGTTACAACGTAGACAATAATAATAATAATAATAATGATAATAATAGCACTTTGGAACAACTGATATCTATTGCCAGATATGTTTTACGTATGGAACAATTTGATCTGTCAACATTCCGGCCTCACCTCACGTTTTCTTGCTACAGCAAATTAATGAAAACAAAATGCAAATGTCGACAAAAGTAATATGTTTTATATTAGACAGTTACCTTGTTCAAGGAATGTATCCGTCTATATCCACATAAAGGACCAATATCCCATACAGCTGAAGCTGTACAAAGAAACTTCGATGTCACATGTCTTTGTAACAATGTAATATTTTGAAAATATATACAGTGTTTTGTGATATTATAACATCTTCATCTCTCATCTGATCAGGGGTGGTCAAGTAGCCTAGAGGTTAAGCGTTCGCTCGTCACGCCTAAGACCAAGGTTCGATTCCCAACATGGGTACAATGTGTGAAGCCCATTTCTGGTGTCCCTGCCGTGATATTGCTGGAATATTGCTAAAAGCAACTTAAAACCATACTCACTCACTCTCTCACTCACTGATCTGATCACGTAAGTTTGTTTCATGTGTCTCGATGGTCAGCTGGGGTAGCACATGTGACGCCGATGTTCATGATGTCTGCGGTTCTTTAAGACAGTCCATGACGTTAGATTACAGTGGGCACTCAATGTATTTTGGTTAATTCTTTGAAAAAAGCATGTTCATTTTACACAGGCACTTCACGCCCCGATATGTGTGTATCCTGTATACTTTAGTAAACCTTTTATATATAAACACTTACTTTTGGCAAATCCCCTGTGCAAGATAACAGTGTTAAATCAATCAACATATTATCGGTTAATCCTTAGTTCAATGGGTTTTTTTAGCAACTCAACTGACCATTCACTGACAATGTAATACATTCACCTCATCAGACCTGAATTTATAGCCCAATCTTAGGTTTAATTATTACCCCAGACACCAGAAATGCCAAATGTTGTTCTACAACAAATTATACCTGTTATGAAGTCATGACGTGAATGATGACAAATATAGGGTTTTACCATAAAACATGGATGACAGGGAGTAGCAATTGTTGTATTGTATGCAATTTGCCAGAAAAATATGGGCCGTTGCTGTTTTGAGTATATGAACTTAATGCATACACGTACACGTATTTGCTGTAAACTAAACTACATATTTGTACATACACATTTACAAATGAAGAATAAATGCGAGGTTTCAAAGGGATTCACCCACGCTGTCAACCAGGTTGTCCGAAACTAGTTTGACGCGAATAAGCGTCTGGTGATTATGCAGGGTTATTACAAAGGCGCTGGCTAGACGACTGAGAGTTGGACTGTTGTCCTTTAAGCAATTTCGCAATGGTTATGGACTGTGTTACAGACAGACAGAAGAATTGTACTGAAATTGTTTTCTGTGCAGGATGCAGGGGTGTGCTGTATTACCAGATTGAAATTGACATGAGAAAATGTATCGCGAAACGATCGCAGTGAACCAATATTTACAATACAGCCGGATCACTTTGGGAGTTTCCGTTAAAGGTTCTATATCGCATTCAGAATGCTTGAGAATTATTAAAATGTTTACAAGGTCGACCCCAATTTTGAGGCAGTGCCGATCAAAGAGGTAAGGCAGCCATTTGGAACCATTTGGCCTCAAGAAGCTTGTGAAGGACGAAACTGTCAATAGAAACACTTCAGGTGTAAAATCTGCAATGCTCAAGTCAAATGTTCTAGCAGAGCAACACTTGCGTGGCATCGTTATCCACTTCAGGTGTAAAATCTGCAATGCTCAAGTCAAATGTTCTAGCAGAGCAACACTTGCATGGCATCGTTATCCACTTCAGGTGTAAAATCTGCAATGCTCAAGTCCAATGTTCTGGCGGAGCAACACTTGTGTGGCATCGTTATCCACTTCAGGTGTAAAATCGTTACAAAGTAGGAGCTGCTATATATTGCAATACAACTTGCCTTGCCTTACATTGCGATACATATTGCAATACAACTTGCCTTGCCTTACATTGCGATACATATTGCAATACAACTTGCCTTGCCTTACATTGAGATACATATTGCAATACAACTTGCCTTGCCTTACATTGAGATACATATTGCAATACAACTTGCCTTGCCTTACATTGCGATACATATTGCAATACAACTTGCCTTGCCTTACATTGAGATACATATTGCAATACAACTTGCCTTGCCTTACATTGAGATACATATTGCAATACAACTTGCCTTGCCTTACATTGCGATACATATTGCAATACAACTTGCCTTGCCTTACATTGAGATACATATTGCAATACAACTTGCCCTGCCTTACATTGAGATACATATTGCAATACAACTTGCCTTGCCTTACATTGAGATACATATTGCAATACAACTTGCCATGCCTTACATTGAGATACATATTGCAATACAACTTGCCTTACATTGAGATACATATTGCAATACAACTTGCCTTGCCTTACATTGAGATACATATTGCAATACAACTTGCCTTGCCTTACATTGAGATACATATTGCAATACAACTTGCCTTGCCTTGCCTTACATTGAGATACATATTGCAATACAACTTGCCTTGCCTTACATTGAGATACATATTGCAATACAACTTGCCTTGCCTTACATTGAGATACATATTGCAATACAACTTGCCTTGCCTTACATTGAGATACATATTGCAATACAACTTGCCTTGCCTTACATTGAGATACATATTGCAATACAACTTGCCTTGCCTTACATTGAGATACATATTGCAATACAACTTGCCTTGCCTTACATTGCGATACATATTGCAATACAACTTGCCTTGCCTTACATTGAGATACATATTGCAATACAACTTGCCTTGCCTTACATTGAGATACATATTGCAATACAACTTGCCTTGCCTTACATTGCGATACATATTGCAATACAACTTGCCTTGCCTTACATTGAGATACATATTGCAATACAACTTGCCTTGCCTTACATTGAGATACATATTGCAATACAACTTGCCTTGCCTTACATTGAGATACATATTGCAATACAACTTGCCTTGCCTTACATTGAGATAGGGAATATCTGCCAATAGCCACCCCTTACTGTGTGTCACCGGCTATGTTTGACTACCCGTCTATCACACAGTGAAGAGTGAAGATCCATCATCAGAATGCATAAAGTAAGCACACATGTGCAGGTAGGTTTTTGTTACCGAGAAGTGAGCTACAGGGCCTCTTGGCCTTTCTTCCAGAATGGGTTTTTTCTATATGTTTTCCAAATGATGGTAATGGCTACATATTTGCTCTGGCACACTTTCTTCATAAAATGTCACAAACATCATTAAACTATTTATTTTACTTAACGATAAAGTAATAACAATAAAGTACTTACCTTTGGGACTGAATAACAAATTTGAAATAGACTTATGTTGTAATTTTGTTAGTTTTGAATTTCATGCGTCATGTTATGTGAGTCAGATATAATTAATAGGGAATGAAAATTCCTTTAGACGGCATTATCTTTCATTTGTTGTTCATTGTTATTTTGGAACACAATGATTTGGACAATGTTTAAGAATGATCTGATTTAATTATTTTTAATTTCAAAACTGCTGTTCTCTGAAAAAGCCTTAGGAGCAAATAGGTCGCCTAGTCATGTGCAGGACATTTCCAAATGTAGCCCAGTCATGTGCAGGACATTTCCAAATGTAGCCCAGTCATGTGCAGGACATTTCCAAATGTAGCCCAGTCATGTGCAGGACATTTCCAAATGTAGCCCAGTCATGTGCAGGACATTTCCAAATGTAGCCTAGTCATGTGCAGGACATTTCCAAATGTAGCCCAGTCATGTGCAGGACATTTCCAAATGTAGCCCAGTCATGTGCAGGACATTTCCAAATGTAGCCTAGTCATGTGCAGGACATTTCCAAATTTGATGCATCAGTGATAAAAATTATGTCTGATGCAATTCCCTATTTTGACTTGTACCATGTGTTCACATGTTTTTTTCAGATGAACAATTGACTTGCCTGTGCATGTGTTTGTGATGGGTGCCACCGGTGGGGCAGGATACACTCACCTTTTCGCAGACACCTGGTATCATTACTATTTGATAGTGGTTCATAAACACATGCTCATGATATAGTCGGAATTGTACAATCGACTCTGCTTTATGCAGAGATTTCTACTGGAAATGGAAAGGGTTTTGTCGCATTGTTTATAGCACTGATTTTGTTTCAACAAGCATGCCATCACAGATTGAGGGTAACTTTTTGTTGTTCTACTTTCATGGTTGAAGTATGTCCGGGCATAGAGTCATACCAAGGAGTGGGACACATTTCTATTCTGCTACAAAGTTTGCTGTCACTGGAATAGTTGAAGGACTTCGACAAGAGTTGAGAGAATTAAAAAGCGGGATTCGTGTTACGGTAACGAGATATGTTGTTCAACCTGGTTAATTCAGCAATAGGTCACCAGATACTATCTTCCAACAACTTTATGCATAGAAACTTTATACAGTGGGAGTGAGTGAGTTTGATTTTACGCCGCTTTTAGCAATATTCAAGCCATATCACGACGGGGGTCACCAGAAATGGGCTTCACACATTGTACCCAATCGAACCCGGGTGTTCAGCGTGATGAGCAAACGCTTTAACCACTAGGCTACCCAACCGCCCTTATACAGTGAGAACTAGGGCTGGAACGGTATTCGGGTGGGGTGGATCCTGAGTAGGACCCGGGTACCCACAGGACTACCCAGACCCGTGGTTAGTTGTGTGATATATTGTTAAACGACAAAAAATCACTATAGCTCAGTGGTTACACTAGAATTTGCTAATGCTCGCATTTTCCTCTGACGATGCAGACATTCCTTTTGACTTGTATATGTTTGAGTAAAGATAAAGCTTCAGTCAACTTCAGTGAACACAGGATCTGATTGTTTGATACATGTATCTCAATAGTTTCAGCCAAGGCTGCAGTAAAACAGTTACTCATCAGACTTTTTGTTCCCAACTCTTGAGACTTGCAGTGGGTACCCGGGTAGGGTCGGGAAATAGGGGGTCAGGTACCCGGGTCGGGTTGGGTAATAGGGGGTCTGGTACCCGGGTAGGGTAGGGTAATAGGGGGTCGGGTACCCGGGTCGGGTCGGGTACCTGGGTCGGGTCGGGTAATAGGGGGTCGGGTCGGGTAATAGGAGGTCGGGTACCCCGGTAGGGTCTGGTAATAGGGGGTCGGGTACCCGGGTCGGGTCGGGTAATAGGGGGTCGTGTGCCCGGGTAGGGTGGGTAATAGGGGGTCGGGTACCCGGGTCGGGTCGGGTAATAGGGGGTCGGGTACCTGGGTAGGGTGGGTAATAGGGGGTCGGGTACCCGGGTCGGGTCGGGTAATAGGGGGTCGGGTACCCGGGTAGGGTGGGTAATAGGGGGTCGGGTACCCGGGTCGGGTCGGGTAATAGGGGGTCGGGTACCCGGGTCGGGTCGGGTAATAGGGGGTCGGGTACCCGGGTCGGGTCGGGTAACAGGGGGTCGGGTACCAGGGTAGTAAACTTGGACTCTTCCCAGCCCTAGTGAGAACTCAAAGTCTGATTCCAGTCAGACAGGAGATATAATTACATCACAGACCGTGTATATATGGAGGGAAACCCCCTCACCCAAGATACATATGGCTGCAAATTATATTTGGATCTCACAGTGTTATATTAAGCACTGGTTGTCACCAATTGTTAGTTTAGTAAGCGATGGACTTGCTTCTCTGTTGTGTTATGGATAGAGACACTGTCATGAGAGAGCAATGTTGGTGGTTTGATCCCTGGCAGGGGCGGTCGGGTAGCCTAGAGGTTAAAGCATCGCTCGTCACGCCGAAGACCCGGGTTCGATTCCCGATATGGGTACAAAGTGTGAAGCCCATTTCTGGTGTCCCCCGCCGTGATATTGCTGGAATATTGCTAAAAGCAGCGTAAAAAAACATATTCACTCACTCACTCATTGATCCCTGGCCATGTCATGCTAAAAGACATTAAGATATGGTACTTGCTGTTACCCTGCCTTGTGCCCGGGATTAAGGGGCTAAAATAAGGAATGGGCATCTCATAGTCTGTATACTGTGTCTGAGTGGGGCATCCATGGTAAACTGTGGCATGGTGTATGAGTGAGCTGGCACTATGAAACTGCACGTCTAGTACAAGCAGCCACACTCATGTGCGTGCATGTCGCTATTTCGCCTCGCCTGCACCAATGGTTGTTTTACTGATTGGCTTTAGTTGTCCAGAAAGCATTGGGATAAATTACCTATTTTTTTATTATCCTGCATACTCCTTAATGCATTTACATAGGGGTCACGTGGTCTCATCTGCTGGGTCCTGCGTCACACTTCAGACGACTTCTTTCTTAGCTGGACTCAGCTTTGTTTGCCGGCCAAAGTAAGCAGGAAAAGCATTAAGGAGTAATGCAGCATTAGTATACAAATGGAGAAAATATTTTGATTTTACTTATTGTTGACTTTAGATATTGTATGCGTTTGTTTTCCAGTCAATAAGTCCCGGTCTGGTGGAGACGGAGTTCAGCTATCGAATGATGAAGGATGATGAAAAAGCGAAGGCGATTTACAGCACGATTCCGGTTAGTGTCTGAAATGGCAGTTTATTGATGCTCTTCGTGTGAAATGAGGACAGTATTTCTGAAATGACTCTAAACCTATACTAATCAGATAGGTCAGCAGCCCAAGTGTAACATTAAGTTTAAGCCTAAAACTAGGATCAACTTCTTTCTAAATTGGGTACAGACATGTTGCCATGGAAAAAGAAAACATGTTGGTGGAAAAGCTATTATGCACTAGGGCTGTGTATTCCACAAACCACATTCTACGAGTAACGTTTTTTTTTTATAAAGTTAGCACCTTGTGGGGATAAACAGGGGACTAACGGGATTGGGTGGTCAGGCTCGCTGACTTGGTTGATGCATGTCATCATATCTCAATTGCGCGGATCGACCCTCATGTTGTCAATCACTGGATTGTCTGGTCCAGACTCGATTATTTACAGACTTTCGGCATATTGCTGGAATATTTCTGAATGGGGCATCATATCCTGTCATAAAATGAAGTTTAGATGGTCATCCTGACGATGTGGGGGCATTGGCCATGCTATCAACTCTATTATTAGCAGGCCTCCCTGATATCGATGGGATGTCCCTGAGTACGACATGAAACAACCAATATGTAAAACAACAAACAAACAAACAAACAAACAAACATGGTAAGGAACATGGCCAGATGAGCATGCATCTTTACTACAAGTAGGCTCGAGTCAGACAAGGGTTTTTGTCATTTCAATACTTTTATGATTGTGATTATTGGAACTTAATTTGTGTAATGCTTTTAATATTCACCAAAAGAAATCAATCTTATAAATATATTCTTATCTGCTCATGCAAATGTGGGATCAGCTGTAGCTGGGTTGCTGGTACCTCATCTTGATGGATTGTGTTGGCGTGTCACAGCCGTTAAGGCTTTCAAGGAAGGGCGAGGACCTTTCAACTTTGACCTAAATCCAAGATGTCCCCGACAGTTGCTGTGTGTTTCACATCCATTAAATAATAAGTCATCTCTTCCAGTGTCTCCAGGTGGACGACATCACAAGCACTGTGATATTTGCCTTGCAGTCTCCAAAGCACATGGAGGTAGGTCACAAATGTCAGCATTTTTTATGCATAGTGGACAACTAGCACTTCACACAGCACATTTTTTCTTGTTGCACAGTTGAGAACTAGTGCTTCATTTAACACATTATCTTTTCTTGTTGCACAGTTGAGAACTAGTGCTTCATTTAACACATTATCTTTTCTTGTTGCACAGTTGAGAACTAGTACTTCATTTAACACATTTTCTTTTCTTGTTGCACAGTTGAGAACTAGTGCTTCATTTAACACATCTTTTCTTGTTGCACAGTTGAGAACTAGTACTTCACACAGTACATTATCTTTTCTTGTTGCACAGTTGAGAACTAGTGCTTCATTTAACACATTATCTTTTTCTTGTTGCACAGTTGAGAACTAGTGCTTCATTTAACACATTATCTTTTCTTGTTGCACAGTTGAGAACTAGTGCTTCATTTAACACATTATCTTTTCTTGTTGCACAGTTGTGAACTAGTGCTTCATTTAACACATTATCTTTTCTTGTTGCACAGTTGTGAACTAGTGCTTCATTTAACACATTATCTTTTCTTGTTGCACAGTTGAGAACTAGTGCTTCATTTAACACATTATCTTTTCTTGTTGCACAGTTGTGAACTAGTGCTTCATTTGGCACAATATCATTTCTTCTTGAGCCTCCTTGGTTTATTTATTGCTTCCTATTTGATTTTATTAGTCTTACCTTGATAACTATACATAGGTCGAGTATGACCTACTTTCCTGTCCAAATGCACCGAGTACAGATGTTTTACCACAGAGACTGAGGGTTTGATATTGGGCTATACACCAAATGTTGGCCTATGTAATTATTCATAACACTGTGTGATGTTTATCTTTCCAGGTTAACGACGTCCTCATCAGGCCGACAGCTCAATCCAGTTAGAGGAGGACATCCATCGGCAAGATATTCCAGAGCTGTGATTTTGGTGTACCACACCTAAAGATATATAGTGATAATTTTGTATCTCATGACCTGTAATCAGATAAATCATAATGCTGTTACTTGTATCAAACTGACTTGCAAACTTCCAAAGAAGTTGGTATCATTGAATGGTGCTAAATCATGTCATCCTTGAATCTTTGTTGACATCTTCTTGAATATTTCCTGTAGAACACAATTTTAAGGAGCTTAGGCCTTTTTCAGTTGGTTTACAGATCCTCGGACCCAAAATACTGACAAAATTGAAGAAAAAAACAGAAAAAGGAAAATTATTAATTTGTAAAAACTATTTGTATCATTGCCGACTGTTGCCGACCCTGAAAACCTTTGTATAAGAATAAAAACTATATTTCTAGAATCTTGCAATGCAGTAAAATGATGACTTTGCGAAAAAAAAAAACGTGCTACTTTGCAGTGGGAATCACTTCTGTTTGTTGTTTGACACCGCACTGAGCTTCTGCATTGATTTACTTGACAATGCAGTGTTGACAGTGAGGGTATTAACTCCAGTGGGAATCGCTTCTGTTGTTTGTTGTTTGACACCGCACTGAGCTTCTGCATTGATTTACTTGACAATGCAGTGTTGACAGTGAGGGTATTAACTCCAGCCTCATCCAGGTACCTTGCCTTGGTAGTTCAGAAATCTTTATTTATTTAGATTTCTCTTCCCTACCAAACATATCTGCAAACCAACTGAAAAAGGTCCTATTTTAGACAGGTATAAGGAATTCAGCTTGAAAGGTCTTCTCTGAACAGTGAAGTACTGGGATACCTTTAAGTTCCTCAAACAAAATTACATCTACTGGCTTTCTTTTCAGTTTGTCTTTCTCCTAAATTATGCGTGTATCCCATTTTTGTGGGACCACCCAGTGTTATTGCTGATGAATATGGTTATGATTTCATGCATTTGGTTGATTTCTTTGTTATGTTTTGTCTTTTAACAAGTGACTGTTTCTATGTACTATATACCAGGCATTTTTTTAAGATTCAGGAAATAAAATATATTAAATTATTTAATTTTGTTTGAGTTTGATGGTAACTCATGCATTTCTCCAATCTCGTTAAAATCAGATCTCAGTGCTTGGGAAAGGGAGCACAAATTTCTTATTTTAATGAGCGCAGGTTTCTATCAGTGTAAAAATTGTGAGTGGAATGGGGTGACTGAGAACATGATTTCAGTTATGTCAAGGTGTGTCAGAATAATGTGGTGGGATATCTGGAGCAAGGCTGAAACAACGCAAGGATCCACTGGTGCACAGTACGGTACACTTCTTTGGATGTTGTTACATATTTCTGTTTAAATTGTGTTAATTATCTCCACTTGGGATGATTTACAAACTTCTTCTCATCAACATTTTCACTTTATCATATAACATCCATCATTCAATTCAATTATGTGGGGATGCTAGGTTAGAGTAGGCCCCCACTCACCTGTGCTGGCCGTACGAGGCTAGGTTAGAGTAGGCCCCCACTCACCTGTGCTGGTCGTACGAGGCGATATGGATCAGGTGGTCAGATTCAATTATGTGGGGATGCTAGGTTAGAGTAGGCCCCCACTCACCTGTGCTGGCCGTACGAGGCGATATGGATCAGGTGGTCAGATTCAATTATGTGGGGATGCTAGGTTAGAGTAGGCCCCCACTCACCTGTGCTGGTTGTACGAGGCGATATGGATCAGGTGGTCAGATTCAATTATGTGGGGATGCTAGGTTAGAGTAGGCCCCCACTCACCTGTGCTGGTTGTACGAGGCGATATGGATCAGGTGGTCAGATTCAATTATGTGGGGATGCTAGGTTAGAGTAGACCCCCACTCACCTGTGCTGGCCGTACGAGGCGATATGGATCATGTGGTCAGATTCAATTATGTGGGGATGCTAGGTTAGAGTAGGCCCCCAGTAACCTGTGCTGGTCGTACGAGGCGATATGGATCAGGTGGTCAGATTCAATTATGTGGGGATGCTAGGTTAGAGTAGGCCCCCACTCACCTGTGCTGGTTGTACGAGGCGATATGGATCAGGTGGTCAGATTCAATTATGTGGGGATGCTAGGTTAGAGTAGACCCCCACTCACCTGTGCTGGCCGTACGAGGCGATATGGATCATGTGGTCAGATTCAATTATGTGGGGATGCTAGGTTAGAGTAGGCCCCCAGTAACCTGTGCTGGTCGTACGAGGCGATATGGATCAGGTGGTCAGATTCAATTATGTGGGGATGCTAGGTTAGAGTAGGCCCCCACTCACCTGTGCTGGCCGTACGAGGCGATATGGATCAGGTGGTCAGATTCAATTATGTGGGGATGCTAGGTTAGAGTAGGCCCCCACTCACCTGTGCTGGTTGTACGAGGCGATATGGATCAGGTGGTCAGATTCAATTATGTGGGGATGCTAGGTTAGAGTAGGCCCCCACTCACCTGTGCTGGTTGTACGAGGCGATATGGATCAGGTGGTCAGATTCAATTATGTGGGGATGCTAGGTTAGAGTAGACCCCCACTCACCTGTGCTGGCCGTACGAGGCGATATGGATCATGTGGTCAGATTCAATTATGTGGGGATGCTAGGTTAGAGTAGGCCCCCAGTAACCTGTGCTGGTCGTACGAGGCGATATGGATCAGGTGGTCAGATTCAATTATGTGGGGATGCTAGGTTAGAGTAGGCCCCCACTCACCTGTGCTGGTTGTACGAGGCGATATGGATCAGGTGGTCAGATTCAATTATGTGGGGATGCTAGGTTAGAGTAGACCCCCACTCACCTGTGCTGGCCGTACGAGGCGATATGGATCATGTGGTCAGATTCAATTATGTGGGGATGCTAGGTTAGAGTAGGCCCCCAGTAACCTGTGCTGGTCGTACGAGGCGATATGGATCAGGTGGTCAGATTCAATTATGTGGGGATGCTAGGTTAGAGTAGGCCCCCACTCACCTGTGCTGGTCGTACGAGGCGATATGGATCAGGTGGTCAGATTCAATTATGTGGGGATGCTAGGTTAGAGTAGGCCCCCACTCACCTGTGCTGGCCGTACGAGGCGATATGGATCAGGTGGTCAGATTCAATTATGTGGGGATGCTAGGTTAGAGTAGGCCCCCACTCACCTGTGCTGGTCGTACGAGGCGATATGGATCAGGTGGTCAGATTCAATTATGTGGGGATGCTAGGTTAGAGTAGACCCCCACTCACCTGTGCTGGCCGTACGAGGCGATATGGATCATGTGGTCAGATTCAATTATGTGGGGATGCTAGGTTAGAGTAGGCCCCCAGTAACCTGTGCTGGTCGTACGAGGCGATATGGATCAGGTGGTCAGATTCAATTATGTGGGGATGCTAGGTTAGAGTAGGCCCCCACTCACCTGTGCTGGTCGTACGAGGCGATATGGATCAGGTGGTCAGATTCAATTATGTGGGGATGCTAGGTTAGAGTAGACCCCCACTCACCTGTGCTGGTCGTACGAGGCGATATGGATCAGGTGGTCAGATTCAATTATGTGGGGATGCTAGGTTAGAGTAGGCCCCCAGTAACCTGTGCTGGTCGTACGAGGCGATATGGATCAGGTGGTCAGATTCAATTATGTGGGGATGCTAGGTTAGAGTAGGCCCCCACTCACCTGTGCTGGCCGTACGAGGCGATATGGATCAGGTGGTCAGATTCAATTATGTGGGGATGCTAGGTTAGAGTAGGCCCCCACTCACCTGTGCTGGTCGTACGAGGCGATATGGATCAGGTGGTCAGATTCAATTATGTGGGGATGCTAGGTTAGAGTAGGCCCCCAGTTACCTGTGCTGGCCGTACGAGGCGATATGGATCAGGTGGTCAGATTCAATTATGTGGGGATGCTAGGTTAGAGTAGGCCCCCACTCACCTGTGCTGGCCGTACGAGGCGATATGGATCAGGTGGTCAGATTCAATTGATCTGGTTAATAGCATGTCATCGCACCCCGCATGCAGGGACCTTTGCTCATGATACCAATCACTGGATTGTGTGGTCCAGACTTGACCATGTCAGGTCATTGTCATATTGCTGGAATATTGCTGAGTTTTGCATTAAACAACTAACAAACATATTAATCATGTATTTAAATTGGTGTTGTGTTGAAATATAAACGAAAAAATATTTTAGAAGAAAACAAATTGTTGTATGGAATTCTGGCAGTTTTACCCCCAATAATGTATACATATATGTGTATCGTGATCAAAGTATTTGGAGACGTATCTTCTATAGGCTTAAAAAAATAATAGAATTGGTTCTCAGGCAATTGATTTGTAATTATTGCACGGGCGATGTGTTATTTTGTTGTTGGTTGTTCAAGTTAGTATGTAACTAAATTTTGTTTACAATAATTTCGGGGAAATGATGTTCTTCTTAAGTATTGTAGCATTTAACTGCTGGGGTCTTGTGTTCGAGACGCTGAATATTTAATGACTCTTATAATTTTTTTAAAAATGGAAATAAAAATGAAAGGTGCGGCAGACTTTATGATGATGCGGGCGATGCCTGAGAACCAATACTATTATGTTTTTAGCCATATATGAGGCCAGTCCCAGTTCAGTGTAGGGCAGGGTGTTGACTTTAAACTCTTTGGTCAATCCCATCAGCTTGGGTACAGACCAAGAATTTTAATCTCATGGATTTCTCCTGGTCAGTTCCCAGTCGTGGCTGCTCCATATGTCCTCTAATGCTGTCCCTGAGCCCCAAGCCCCCCATACTTCCTGCTGTGACCTTGTACAGACATGATGTCTGTGCTGCTCAGGCCATGTTGCTGTGACCTTGTACAGACATGATGTCTTTGCTGCGCAGGCCATGTTGCTGTGGGGTCAACGAGGGATGCTGCCCTGGAGGATTCTTGTGATTCTCACTTCACCCTGATCTATCTCAGCCTTTACTTTACAATCCTTAGGATCCGTCCCCAGAAATCTAACTTGGTCGTTACTTCTTATGCTTGAGGACATGCTCTTTGTTAAGAACTGCCTCAGTACTTCACCCAATCAAACAGAGATTAGGAAAGTCTAGGGTTTATATATTATTTTTTAAAACTTTTCTTCACCCTGTCATATAACGCGGGGGGATATAGGCGACACCTTGTCTGTCTGTCTGTCAGTAGTCATTTCCTTTCCGGAACACAACTCAAAAACAGGCAGATATATCAAATAGTCTTGAAGTGGTGCCTTTTGCTATTGTAGGTCTATTGTTCAAAGCCTCTTTTCATGATAAGATGGATTTTGGGCCAAATTCAATTTGTATGCATGCTATTTGATAGCCAGTCACTTTTGTCAATGTCACTGTGGTCAAAGGTTGCATGACAATTGTATGTCTTAATCTGGCCTGAGACCCGTGACATCATGTGTTGACATGTAAATGAAGGTAAGGACGTGATATGGAAAGACAAGTCACATCAGAGGTCAAACACAGGCTGATGTCAAACTGGGGAGGGGGCATGGGTGGCCCAGTCTAAGGAGACGCAATTCGCTGTGCAGAGTTGCGTCCCTTTGGCACGCCAGAGACCTATGATTGTGGGTTCGAATAAATGTGTCATACATGGTCTCAGGTCCAGTTTGATTGCAAAGTGCAAAGTGGTGAAATATGGCTAAAAGCCAATAATAATCTGTTACTATTTCTCGAAGAGAATGTGAACAAATGTTGATTCAACTGACAGTAAGTTTGTTGACAGGTCATGACTACCTTTCTATAGTCAGTACATTCAATATGAGGAGGTCAAAGCTGGTCACATGGATAACTGGCTTTCGATTGGATTGGGGAAAATAACTGACATGTTGATGTCTAGTGAAGGCCAGTTATCCTGAGCTGTACAGTGAAATTGTTGAGATGAAGTGTTTATGGGTGTGTAATAATATCCCTTTTATTAGACTGGGATATTCCCCACAATAATCCGCCTGAAGGCATGTATATCAACCTAATATTGGTATGATTGTTGTAAAGACAAGATATTTTATGGATGACAGCGTCTTTACTGAATTATGATGAATTATGATGATCATACATGACAACGGTAGAGGGAT